CTGCACCTTCACCAGGAAGCACAGTAAAGCAAGATATATATGCATGATTGAATTTTTTAAGTTCTTCAGTCATGCAGCCAAGGCGGGGGGAAGCTTTACAGCTTCCAGTGATGAGGGACATTTGATACGAAATGTTCACAATTAATTCTGGACACAGAAACCCCAGCTAAGCAGGAATTTCAAAGTATCATTCATGCAAAATGTCAAGAGCCGTCACAGTGCAGAGCTCTTTCAGCTCAGTGGGAGGGGACGGCATAGACCCTTCATGGGAAATCACTGACAATGACTCTATGACATCATGTAAAAAGGAGCGCACTCAGAACCGTCTTTGCTTTTGGTCTTTGTCTGTGGGAGTGTGTGCATGTGTGTGCGTGAATGCTAGGGACTGAACCCAGGGTTTTGCACACAATCAGGCAAGTGCCCAAGCACTGAGCTGTACATCCGGAGCCTTCAGTACCACTTTTTAAATTAGGAGAAAATCGTTCTTTGGAGAAATAGTGCATGTTTTCTCATGTGCTGTCCTTCCCAATCCTCCTCTATGTCTCAGCAGCCTATAGACTGGTGATCAGGGGAGATGCTTCTTTCTCACTGCTGTTTTATTACTTCCTTTAAACACTGGGTAGATTCACTTCTCTGCACCTTTGCCAGGAAGCACGGTGAAGCAAGCTCTTCTTGCCAGGCAACTTCCGCCCAGGTTGCTGGGAGAGACAGAACCTACTCCAAGGTGCAGGTAAGTCAAGGAAACGGGAAATTCATGCAAGGACCCAGCCAACCGAGCAGAATGGCTGTAAAGCCATTCAGCTGTGAAGCCCATCCGTCACCCAGTGGCCTGTTTCTACAGCATTTCTCTTGTCTGAGATGTTACAGAATCTCTGAGTGAGTGGAGAATGTTCTGGTAAGCATCCAGGACATCCTGAGCAGTGGGTCTTTCTGCAGGAGCCTGGCTCTTACAGGCCTTATGGATGTCGAACAAATGGAATCGAACCATATCACTCCCTTCCACGCGCCCCAAAAGGAAACTGGAGACATCCGGAATTTTCCAGATGTCTATCTTCTCGTCATATGAGGGCATGAGGTCATCCTGGAAGGGTGCGTCCTTTCCATAGGGCCACAGCTGCTCAGGAGCCACAAAATCCCCATGGAGCTCCCTGTGGCCGCACTTAACAAATGTCTGAGAGTTGCGGTTTACCAGGGGCAAGGCATCCAAGTCATTTGCCACAATGCTAAAGTTACTTGTCAGCAGGTACTGGGACAATGTCTTGGGCAGGTCATTAGAGTCACACATGACCCGTGTTCCCACAGGGCTGTGGTGCAGGTAGTTAAGGATGCTCACATACTCCACAGCCAGCTGCAACCTCTGCTGCCAGCTGTTCACATTTTGGTACTTTGAAAGGTTTAGTGTCTCTTCCAGGTTGTTCAAGGAACCGAAAGGGTGGTACTCAGTAAGAATAGTGCTGTCGTCCTCGCAGTAGCCAACCAGTGTGACAATGTGTCTGCTTTGCAGAGATTTCAGCATCTCTAGCCCATGGAGGAAATCATCCTTCATCTCTAGACTGGAGAGTCGTGAGAGAGCAACTTTGTGTTCATTCCACTCAGACAGAAAGACCTGCAACAAGACCACAGAAAGCATCACACCCGAGCTTTCGCCAAAAACAAACTGAGAAATAAGTACCTTCCTAAGAGGCAGGTGTGGTCAGAGGACATGGGAATGAATGGGGTACGGCGCAGACCTGGCCGGCCTGGAGCTGTGCTTCATCTAGCTGTAACGACTCACAAGCACATAGCATCCAGCAAGGTGAGCAGCTATGTTAGTGTTTCAGAGGATGCAGGCAGCAAGGATGGCCTTTGGTGTGAATGCTGAGAGCTACTGAGAGGATGGAGGGCAGCTCCTGATTGCTCTCTTAGAGTGAGCAGGTCTTCAGCACAAATGTGGAGCACGTGGATACAGACCTGGGCGGGGAGGCTGCATGTGTAAAGGCACCATGAGGATGGCTCCAGTTCCGACCCAACTGCAACACAGAGGGTGGAGAGTTGGAGACAGAAAAACCTGAGAAAGGGTGTGAGAGCAAGGAAGCCCAGCACAGCCCAGCCAGGGTGTGACCAGGGACTCACCAGCCCAGCCAGGGTGTGACCAGGGACTCACCAGCACAGCCAGGGTGTGACTAGGGGCTCACCAACACAGCCAG